ATCATATATTAAACATCTTATTGTTCCATACTTTCCTAACAGAGCACTTCACTCTCAGACTGCAGGTTTACTTGTGGTTCCTGGAGTTTGTAAAAGTAGAATGGGAGGCAGAGCTTTCAGTTATCAAGCTCCTCTCTTGTGGAACTAACTTCCAGTTTCTGTCCGTGAGGCTGAAAGTCTGTCCACTTTTAAGATTAGACTGAAGACTTTCCTTTTTCAGAAATCATATAGTTAGACTTAGGTTTCCAGAGTTGTTCTTCATTTCTGCTGCTATAGACTTAAGCTGGAAACACACTCGTTCCGACGCCAACGGGTCGACGCGCGGTCACGTGGTTGTTGGGCAGTCGTTTTTGCACAGACCTTCATAGTTCCTGCACACTGCTCCCAGCTCGGGGGAACCCCTCCCTCCCGCTGAAACATACGTCACTGCATGGAATTTCTCCCTCAACAGCAATGCAGAAAAAAAGTCACTCACCTGACGGACTTTTATCCACATCTGTCCTGGTTAAAAAGCTCCACAGTTTCAGAGTCCTCTGTGCCTGTTTATCTGTTATGTCTGTTTATCTACATTCAAGAGTTTTTCATGGTTTGACTATCTTTATAAAACTCTGCTTCCTGGTCGGCTCGGGGAGCGAGTCGGGTTTTCCTTTTTTTTTTTTTACTGAGTGGTTGAAGTAAATGCAGCGCATAGCGCTGTCAGCACAAACACGCATGAGTTTTTCTCAGTTTGTCTATCTTTAAAACTGCTCAAAACAGTCTGCTCTAGTCAGAAGAGAGTTTTTGTTTTATTCTTCTGCTGGGTCCGTCCGAGCGCTTTCAGTTCAGACCAATCACACATTACCGTCAACACGGGAGGGGGGTCAAAAAGTTCTGCTGGGGGCTTGTGCCAAAAGGGGCTGTCGACACGACGTTGTGAAGCCCGGTGACGTAATTTTCGTCATTAAACTGCGACAACCCGTGCCGACGTCGGCAGTTCGCAGGGAGTATGTTTCCAGCTTTAGACTGCTGGAGCACAAACTGAGCACATTTCCTCACTCTGCTGTTGTCTTTAGTCTCTCTTCTCTACATGTTCATTGTAATTATTTCTATCAATAACATGTTTTTTCTTTGTCTCTTTTCCAGAAGAAGGTGCACCTGGACCAGTCCCGAACCAGTTCTTCTGTGTTTGTCTGTGTCTCTTTCCTG